TATGGTAATGGGGATCCCACTTGAATCCGGGAAGATACTGTCCGCACTTGCAACCTTTAGAATTCTTCAAGAGCCAATTTACAGTCTTCCTGACACAATTTCCATGATTGTTCAGACTAAGGTTTCTCTTGATCGAATTGCATCGTTTCTTTCCCTCATTGAGCTGCAGCCAGATGTCGTAGAGAGGCTTTCTATGGGCAGTTCTGACATGTCAGTAGAGATAGTCGATGGAAATTTTGGCTGGGATTTATCGTCTCGTTGTCCAACATTGAAAGATATTAACCTCAGAGTTTCTCATGGCATGAAGATTGCCATCTGTGGTACAGTTGGTTCAGGCAAGTCAAGCTTACTTTCCTGTATTTTGGGAGAAATGCCCAAAATTTCAGGAACCATTAGGCTCAGTGGAAGAAAATCCTATGTTGCTCAGTCACCATGGATACAAAGTGGAAAGATTGAAGATAACATACTGTTTGGTAAGGACATGAACAGACAACTCTACGAGAGAGTTCTTGAAGCTTGTTCTCTAAAGAAAGACTTGGATATTCTCTCTTTTGGTGATCAAACAGTTATTGGTGAAAGAGGGATCAACTTGAGTGGTGGACAGAAGCAGAGAGTACAGATTGCACGTGCACTGTACCAAGATGCTGATATATATTTGTTTGATGATCCATTTAGCGCTGTGGATGCACATACGGGAACCCATCTGTTCAATGTACGTTCCACTTCTCCTTTTGATTTTCTATTCTAATTCTTGTTGTACTTTTGCTTATTCTTGTTAACCCTGTTCTAGCTCCCCATGGACCCCAATTGAATAAAATTATAAAGATATGTTTTTCTATTGGTATTATGAATCTTATTATATTTATTGTGTTCAAATGGCAGGAATGTATACTGGGGCTTTTGAATTCTAAAACTGTTATTTATGTCACACACCAAGTTGAATTTTTACCGGTAGCTGATCTGATTTTGGTGAGGTGTTCATTTCTTTTTCATTTCATTTTGTCTTGGTGATTCTTCATCCAGGTCACACAACCTAATTGCTCTATCATCAGGTCATGAAAGATGGGAGGATTACACAAGCTGGAAAGTACAACGATATTCTAAAATGTGGTAGTGAATTCATGGAACTAATTGGTGCCCATAAGGAAGCTTTATCAGCACTTGATTCTACTGAGGCAGGGGCAACATCTGTTGGTGAAGATAGCAGAACAAGAAATGCTGAGAATTATCTGCAGAAAAAGGAATCTCTTAATGATCAAAATGATAAAACGGATACTGCAATGGGGACAAACGGACAGCTTATTCAAGAAGAAGAAAGAGAGAAAGGTCAAGTTGGTTTATCAATTTATTGGAAATATATCACAACTGCATATGGTGGACTCCTTGTGCCCTTTATATTGTTGGCGCAAATTCTGTTTCAATTACTTCAAATTGGAAGCAATTATTGGATGGCCTGGGCAACTCCAGTGTCTGAGGATGCAGTACCTCCCGTTGGAGGTCCTACTCTTATCATTGTCTATGTTGCTTTGTCAATTGGAAGTTCATTTTGTGTTTTTACCAGAGCCTTGCTACGTGCTATGGCTGGTTACAAGACAGCTAAAATACTTTTCAACAAAATGCATATGTGCATATTTCGTGCCCCCATGTCCTTCTTCGATTCCACTCCAAGTGGACGCATTTTAAACAGGGTAAGAAAAATCA